TATATATATATATATATATTTATATACTGTGTGTGTGTAATACTGATCATGTGCTTGAAAACCTATTTTTCCAACTTCAAAATGGGTAAAGTCCATCTTAACAATTGTCATGTCATGACTCAATTGCAATTGAGGATGCATTCTTATTTTTGTTTTCCTAGTGGACTTTAGAATCACCGCTCTTCTCCCATATTTTTACTAACATGCCTTGACATGAAGACCACGTGACCTCATGTAACTTATTGCGACATGTTAGCATGCATTGGGGTGTGCACAAGCCACTTGTTTTAACTGCTGCGAAACACTTCCAGTGGTGTTATGCTTGGCCATTTAAACAAAAATACAGGCTGAGCTGCTTTCTCATGGTAAAAGTGAAAGCTCAACTTATACCTCAAAGCCAGACTACTGACGGGACAAAAATATAGGTTGATTCTAATGACATCCTTTACAATTTCACTGGCGAGCAAGAAGTTTGCTCTAAAATGAAAGTTATTTATTAAGAGAGTACATTTTTTGACAGTAAATAAAGCCTCAGATGGACAAGCATGCTGAACAAGCTTATTTATAGTACAGCTTTAAATCAGAACTATGACAAAGGCATACAGAACTGGTAATCTATATTTAAAAACACTTCAGGGAACAAGCTCTAACAAACGCAAAAATGATTTGCTGTGACAAAAACAAACAACATTCCAGTATGAGAGACATTTAAAGACTTTTCTCTTCACATGTGGTGTGCCGGGATCCTAATGAAGGGTGAACACTCAGAACTTGGTGGCCCAGTGATCCAAGAAAAGCAGCACAAGTGCATGACTAATAATTTGTGCCACTGTTTCCAGGATATGAGGTCTGGTTTTGTCCTGTGTAGGTCTGGTAGGAGCCATAGCCCTGTTGAGTGCTCCAATTTGACTGGTTTGACCAACCTGTGGAGGGAGATCAAATTATCACCTTGGACCAAGTCACTAACATGGGATGACGGCAGGGTATTCAAAGACTAAATAGTCAAAGCCAGCTATCGGTAGCCTTAGTACTGACCATAATTACTATATACTTGGGTCCCCACAACTGAGCTGGGGTAAGCAGTGCTGTACATGGAGTAGTTGCCTCCCTGTACTGAAACCTCCGTCTGGCCTTGAGTAAGCATCTTCTTCTTTTCATCCCCGTAGCCATAACTGTAGGGACTCTGTTGGTCAGCAGGCGGGGGTGTTGACTTGTAACTTGTCGCTGTGCTTGTGCTGGCATTGGTACTGGAGACGGGTGGGGAGGAGAAAGTGGTGGCGCTTGTCTCTGGGTAAAATGTGCCGTAGCCAGTACTGCCTCCCGTGCTGCCAGTATTAACGGCGGCTGCGGCTTTGGTGGCAACTGTGGTCTCGGCTCCATTGTTGCCGTACAATTTATCTGGAAGAAAGGGAAGTGTTGAAGAAGATCAAAGCGTGTTTCAAATAGATTGCTACATTGACTTACGAGTGCGTCGACATCAGAGCTTTAAGAGTTACTTGATCTTTTTTGTTGTGTCAAATACCAGTACCGTACTTCAAACCAATACGTTTAAAAGCGGGGTTGAAACATTTTCGTCTTTTAAGATGGAAAGACAGACATTTTTTTTTTTTTGTATTCAATATATGTGTTGAAACGTGACATGTTTTAGTTCTAAGAACTCTGGTGCTATTTTTCCAACAATGTGGTTTGTTTGCTTACGTGTGAATGCTATTACATGAATGCTGGTGCACAGATGGTCAAGTGGGTCTCTGCTTTGAACCAAACACGCAGAGCCAATACGAAAACAACAATGGGATCATTAGGAAATCCAAGCACTCTTAATATTCCATTGACAAGGAGGTAAAACATCCTTGTCGGAACAAGTGTTTTGAAAGCTGCTATTTCCTTGCGGCATACAGTATCTGCATCTGTGTGCGCAACCTTATCTCGAACGACATCAAGACAACATCACTGCTTTGGAAGCTTGAGTTTTGCGGCACGATATCCACCGACCGGCCACAACAATATGATTACCTGCACAATCTGATTAGATATAATACATCAGCTCTATCACATGGGCATCTCGACTGGGATGCCTGCATGTGCTGTGTGCAAATCAAAACATACAGATGAGTCCATGCTCAATTTCCCCTTGAGGAATTTCTATCAATGAAAAAAAAAATTACAAATATCTTGATCGTTATCACCTTTGCAGCAGTGGAAAACTGTAATACATCAAACAAACAATATTTCAACACTCATTCAGCTAAATGAAGCAACGACAATGTTAGAAACGCCTCTCAACATAATATAATGTAGTTGTACAGTATACGACGGCAAACGACAAGTCCAACCATGACAGTGTCGTAAATGCTTCACGTTTGATGTACACGCTTGTATTGGCAGGTGATCTCAACGCCATGCCAGGTCTGAATTCACTGCACAAGTCTCCTCGAGGGCTGCTATCCTGCATGTTTTAGAGGTTTCCCTCCTGCAACTCACCTGATTTTATAGATGAGCTGAATGAGCTTCAAGGGGATGTCCACCCCCAAATTTTCTTTACAGTAACGTAATCTATGCGCCTCCACTACTCTAAACAGAGCATTCTAATTAAAATGGTGTTTGTTGAATAAGAGTCAAGCAGTAAAATCCACCTGCTTTTGTCCAACTCAGGGGCCGTCCATTTTGCCACGTGCTGTCGACTGAAAATGACATCACAGTTGCTCAAGGGCTCAGGTCAGAACCAATCAATCATAGCTCAACTGAAGAAAACAGATGAGCCGTGTTTAGACTTTTGGGGCCATATAGAACATACTGTAAAGACAATTTTCGGGTTGACTTCCACTTCAAAAGATGTAGGCACATATAACATGTGTTGTAATTCCTACGCTGTTCACCTGATTTGGATGTAAATACCCTCAAATTAGAACTCACAGCCTGCACTTGCAACACAGTTTTATTTCAAATCCGCTGGGGTTTTGTACAAAGATGGAATCCTTAAAATTATACATACGTCCAAACATTTGTGGACCTGACTGCAATTAATAACACATGCAGTCAAAATGTAATGTATTTCACAAACAAAGCTGTGCACAGTCCATCAAGACCAAAGAAAATAATGCTGAATTGTTGTGTTCTTAGACCTTGGAATGAAGCACATCAGCTTCATGATGCTACTGAACATGAGATGCATTGTTGCGATACAGGTTATAGTTACTTAGTAGGGGGTCTTACGAAAACCGCCCTGAACCGGTCGAAAATCATTTTTTGATTTAAAAGATCGGAGTGCATCAAATCGACCAGAATCATTCCGCAAATATATCAAGACATGTATCAAATTGTCTTTTGTTGGGAGAAATATACAGTATACATTACTGACCATTTCATTCAAGTGCATGTAAAATGACGGCAAAAAAGTCATTGCATCTTACACTCTCAAACTGAGACATACCAAATCAAATTGTAATCCCACTAAATCAAACAGCATCGAAGCTTTCCCCTTTGAAATTGGACCCTCCTTGAATCGCTTCGCACCACACGTATCGAAAACCGTATTGAATTGTCTTTTGTGGAGACATGGACACCCGTATTAGTTAATGATATGTGTTTTGTTAAATTTGACACAGCGGCACAATTGACCCATTTGCAGAGCACCGAGATGAGAATGTTACCTTCAGTGGTACAGAATACAAAGTTAAGGAAGCCGGTTGGGATATACTTACGATAGCCTTTACTGGAGTTGCTCCCATAACTGTAGTTGGCTTTTAAAATAAAGGGAATATATTCACCATCAGTCACCTCACACATTAGCTGTGCTGAGTAATTGAAAAGGGAGAGCATTGAGTTCCTTACTTTTGTTGTAAACGGGTCCTGAAGAATAGCCTCTGCCCCTGCCTCTCCCTCGACCTCTGCCATGGCCCCAGTCAGGAGCTCCGGAATCTGAAGGAATCCCACGAATAGTACCGAAGCCTGGGATGTGCTGTTAAAATAATTACCACTCATGATTCAACATTAATGTCTATGTTTGGTTAGAATTGGACTTATTAATTCATGTTTTGAGGGTCACTTCATTTCTTCTACTCCGATTCTGAAATGTCAACACATCATAAAAAGTTCTACAAAAATCGATGTAGTGCAGGGTTATAATACTTTGGGCTTTTTCTTTGTAGTGCTTTTACACGCACACGCACGAACGATCGGTATTGTCATCTTAAAACCCTGATTGGAACACCCCAAATCAGGGGTCGGGAACCTGTGGCTCGCGAGCCAGGTGTGGCTCTTTTGAGGATTGCATCTGGCTCGCAGATAAAACAAAATACTGTATTCTCCTGATTTAATCCATCCATCCATTTTACACCGCCCCCAAGTGGCCAATGACACCAGACGAAGGAGGATTCAAAAGTATTTGATGTAGTGTGACAAAAACTGGAATACTTTCTGATTACATCAACATCCAATGTTTTTCGAAAGTAACACATATTATGGAGTGTTATCATTCCTCATTAATATACATATTACAATATTTTTAGTTTAATATTTTGGTAACGCTGGAACAAATTATGCCCAGAGGGAAAGTCAATTTGTGCTCCACTCTCGTGTGTTGGGTGCAATTACCATGTCCGTGTAAGTCAGCTTTTTTGTTCTCTTGGGCATGAGAGGTGTTTCTGGGAACAGCTGGTCCAGAGCGGCGAGGGCAGCGTAGGCCTTTGCCTCCTTCTTGTTTGACCCCCTCCCTTTGAACTTTTGTCCATCGACTTCCACCTGGCAGACAGGGACAGACAGGTGTGACCGCCCACGGTTGACTTTTTAAGCATCAACGTGCATTGTGTGCGAGACGCTGTCAGATCACCTCCATGACAAAGCACTTCTCATGAGAGCCACCTGTCTCGGCAGATAATTCATACTTGAGACTACGTCTTTTCTCATTCAACTCCATGACAGGGTTCTTTCCATTCTTGGTCAGGATAGGACCCTGAGTACCCTGTTTAAAACAGACAAACAGCGCAGAAAAAAATCCTTTAGTCCATTTCACTAGTGTCATTTAAGTGAACAAAATATTTTGAAAAGATCACTGGAGAGGCAGAGATCCAACACACATCATCTGATGTGCTGGAAGCACTTGTTACTTCTTGGCCATCATCAGCTTTGGGCTCGGACTTGGCGTCTGAACCTGTTGGAAGACCAAGATCTTGCAGGACCTATGAAATATAAATAAGTAAACCAGTTTAGGTTCTGAGAGCTGGCATTACATTGTTTACATTAAAAGAAACTTGCCTTGGTGGCTACATTAAGCTTGGCCGCTCGTTTTGAGGGCCCAGTAGATTCATAGGTTTTCCCATTTACATCTACAGCCATGGCAAATACTGGCTCATGGACTGGACCTGTCTGAGAGGTGAGGCGGTAGTCCAGGCCTGGCCGGTACTGGTTCAGACGCATCACGGCGTTCATGCTCAGATCATCTGTCACTAGAGGAAATGCAGATCTTTGTCAGTAACCTAGGGACGTGGGGCTTTGTTTTTCTAGCTTGGAGTGTAAGCATTGTCTGATGGTTTTCTTTTTTCTTTTTGTTCCAAATGCATGAGTAGTGGATTATAGATTACATGATTTCCGAGGAAAACGCTTCTGGAATTTGAGGAACTTCCTCTGTTTGCTATTTAAGGAGGACGCATCCGTTCCTGTTGCCATTTCGGTGTAGGATCTTTTAGCCGAAGGAGAGGGTCCAGACGGGTCTCCATGAGCTGGAAAACAATACAATCAACAAACATATAAAATTAAAGACAAAATTGTGAATTGATTTAAAACAGAGCAAAATACCTTGGAAGATTTTTGCGCTGGCTCCTTGTACTTTCCATGGCCTACCAGGTTTTGCTTCAATCCCCAAAACTTTGTACATCATTCCAAAGGCACACAGTCTTAATGCCAACTATAGAAAGAAAAAATAAATAGTATGAGTTAGATTAGATTAGATATCCTTTATTTGTCCCACACTGGGGAAATTTACAGCCTTCAGCAGCAAGATTGTGGGTAGAAAGAAGAGAAAAGAAAACACAGTTCAATTAAGTGCAATATAAATACAAACATGGATAAGGTCAATAATTAAGTGCAATATAATACAATAGTCACAGTACTATTCACATATGTTGTCATATCATTTAAATAATTCTATGATTTATTTATTTATTCATTTTTTATTCAGCAGCCTGACAGCAGTCGGTAGGAACGAGTGGCGGTATCTCTCCGTCTTGCAACGCGGGTGTAACAGTCTCTGACTGAAGGAACTACCGAGTGCTGTCAGGGCTGGCTGGAGGGGGTGGGAGGGACTGTCCAACATAGCTTTTAGCTTAGCTAGCATCCTGCTGTTGCCCACCTCCTCCAGAGTGTCGAGGGAGCAGCCCAGGACAGAACCAGCCTTCCTGACTAGTCGCTCTAATCTCTTCCTGTCCCGGGCCGAGATGCTGCCTGACCAGCAGACAATGCCATAATGGATGGCCGAGGCCACCACCAAGTTATAGAAAGTCTTAAGGAGTGACCCCTGAACCCCAAAAGGTTCAGGGGTCACTCCTTAAGACTAGGGACGTCCCGATCATATTTTTTCGTGCACCCGTGTCCGAGTCGTTTGTTTTACCTGCCATCACCGAATCACAAACCACTATCTCGGCACAGCATTAAAGGGGAAGTAGTCAAGTAAAAATTTTGTCTATACAGTAAATATTCCCATCCCCGGAATTCTATGAAAAGGCATTTCCTTCACCCGGAACAAAAACCTATGCATTAACATTTTGACTACGATATTACACGTTACCGGAACTTACGTCAGCGGAAATTCCACTACCCGTAACCTGGATTGAGACGTCATGCCGCGGGAGCTTCAATACACGCAACGCCCACCCGATGCTACGGAAAGACACAACGCTGGGACACATTTTCACTTCGCGTTTTTCGATCATCAGATTCGAAACGACGACGTGTAAGTGAGTTTTTATTGGCGTGCGTTTTACTGTAATTGTGAATGATTTTAACTTGATTCACTTAACGTCCTGTAGAACGCGGCACTAGCTTAAAAGCAGCACCCACTCGACACGACCGAAGAAACGCGTTCGCTTCGCCGTTTTCATTCATCAGATTCGAAACGAAGACGTGTAAGTGACTTTTTATTGGCGTGCGTTTTACTGCAATTGCGAAAGATTTTAACTTTATTCACTTACGTCGTGTAGATCATGGCATCGAAACGTAGAAGAACTATAATGACTGGAGCGGAGCGAGTGAAATGCATCCGTTTGAGCGAGGCTGGACACAAAGTTAAAAACATCCAGCAGACTCTTGGAGTCGGAAAGACGCAAATCTACGAAACTTTAAAAAAAACAAGGCATCGATTCAACTCCTGATGACAAGCCACTATCCAGCGAGGAAGCAATGCAAATGGCAACAAAAATCCGTCAGTATGCACAAGAATTACCAGACATCGGTGATCAACGGGACAGTTACTTGCAACTAGCAAGAAAACTGTATGACATGCAGGCAAACATTGTCATAAACCAAAGAATGCATCCAACAAAACAATCCAAAATAGACACATTTTTTCCCAAGACAGAAAAAAATAAACATTAAAATACTGTACGTATTTTACTGTTGTGATTTTTTTTTGGATACGCCTGCATTGCAGTTTTTGTTGTATAAACAGTTTTTGGACAGTATATTTTTGTATTTTATTGATTGTGTTGTTACACGTGCATTTTGTCAACATACTTGCAGGTTCATAAAGGACATGTACCATGCTCATTTCCCAAATGAGGAATTTCTGTTATCAGGACAAATTGGACAGCGCAAACACGAGTCCGCACTAGAGAATATTTACTATATACTATGTCCTATGCAGCGCCACACATCTAAACACGTCATCCATCCATCCATCCAATCTCTACCGCTTATCCGGGGCCGGGTCGCGGGGGCAACAGATTTAGCAGGAAAGTACAGATTTCCCTTTCGCCAGCTACTTCTTCCAGCTTTTCCGTGGTATCCCAAGGCATTACCATTCTCCAGTGTGTCCAGGGTCATCCACGGGACCTCCTGCTGGTGGGACATGCCAGGAACACCTCCCCAAGGAGGTGTCCAGGAGGCATCCTAATCAAGATACCTGAGCCACCTCATCTGGCTCCTTTCAACATGGAGAAGTGGCTCAACTCTTGAGCCCCTCTCTGATGACAAAGCTTCTCACCTCAGCACTAAGGGAGAGCCCGAACATGCTGCAGAGGAAAACTCATTTTGGCCGCGTGTATCCGGGATCTCGTTCTTTTAGTCACGACCCATAGCTTGTGACCACATGTGATGGTAAGAACGTAGATCGACCGTCAAGTGAAATCTTCGGCTTTGGGCTCAGCTCCTTCTTCACCACGACAGATTGATACAAAGTCCATGTCACAGCAGATGCTGCACCGATCCGCCTGTCAATCTCCCACTCTATCCTGCCCTCACTCATGAACAAAACCCCAAGATATTTAAACTCCTCCACTTGAGGTAAGACCTCATATCCCTGACGGAGGGCACTTCATCATTTTCCGACCGAGGGCCGTTGTTACAGATTTGGAGGTGCTGATTTTCATCGCAACCACTTCACACTCCGCTGAAAACTGCTGCAATCAGAGTTGGAGATGCCGAGACATCACCACATCATCTGCAAAAATCAGATATGCAATACTGAGGCCACCAAACCGGACCCCCTCAACGTATTGGCTCCACCTAGAAATTCTGTCCATAAAGGTTATGAACAGAATCGGTGACAAAGGGCAGCCTTGGCGAAGTCCAACCCTCACTGGAAACGAGTCCGACTGACTGTCAGCAATACAAACCAAACTCTGACATCGGTGTTATTGGGAATGGACAGCCCATAGCAGGGGGGTCAATACTCCATACTCCCGAAGCACCCCTCACAGAACTCCCTGAGGGACACGGTCGAATGCCTTCTCCAAGTCCACAAAGCACACGTAGACTGGTTGGTTGAACTCCCATGCACCCTCGAGCGTATAGTTTTGGATTATTTGGTCATTTTGTGACATTTTAAAATTCCAAAATATTAAGAAAACTGACCCCCCCCCACCCCCCATCTCCAGTCAGATGAAAATCGCATGATCGTCCCAGATTTTCAATCATGTGACTGGCCCCGATCTCCGATCAGATGATTGGCCCCGATTTAAGATCACGTGATTGGATTGCGACATCCCTAGGTACTCTTGCCAACCTTGATATGCAAACTCATTTTACCTGAGCACTCTGAGTTGTGTCTTCACGCTGTTGCAAGGTGAGACTTCCAAGGACATCAATGGGTTCCTTCTCACAGGGATCTTTAATTCCAGGACCATCTATGGTCAAATATAAAATCGAATTAGGATCTTAACTCATCTCAATTGCATTTATAGCATAGCCAATTTCATTATAATAATATTCCAAAGACATATTTAAGCTTACCAGCCAATAGGATTCCAGAGGCAAGGCACTCAAGAACCCTACGGAACGCCTCGCCTGGGCCTAGTGGTCTCTCAGATGTACTGATGGCCTTTTCTGCAAGCAATTCAAGAGGCTGTGCAAGAAGAGACAAGAGGACCACAATGCAAACTTCAGAGCAAAGACCTCCGCCAACACTTAAAACTTCAGCTCAACTTCAAAACTGGATTTGACTATGGGTATTGGTTAATATTTCTTAGCTTTGGCTCCAAAAGGAAATTTTACAATAATCAATTAGCTGTTAAAATCATATTTCAATCAAGTAAAGCAGTAGTTTGGTTTGTTTTAAATGAAGTATGCATTGTATTGTCAAAAGCTGCAAAGGTCCTGAAATAGTCATCTACCAACGTACATGCATGCATCACCGAAATAATTTGAGCACCATTTCCTTTTGGTGACAGCCAGAGTAGCACAGCATGCTAATAGTTGTGTTACACAGTATGTAATGAATGGAAACAAATACAACGGCTTATGATGATGAGGGGATTTAACATTCTGTATGCATGGTAGATAAAAAAAAACACTCTATATTATTCCTTGGTCTGATTGTGCGTGTGAATGGTTGTTGGTCTGTGTGTACCCTGTGATTAGCTGGTGACCAGTTCAGGGTGTACCCCAAGGGTGTCACACAGGTTTTTGTCGCGGGCCACAGTACAGTTATTCAGTTACAGTTTTCTCTCGGAGGGCCGTTATGACTTTGAACACATATAAATGTATGCCTGCCTGATGTTATCACTTTTACACAACAAATTGATGGTTATGTTTTGAAATCAGAAGCCAGTAAATTGTTTGTTCACCTATGTTTCAGTTTATTTTAAAGGGGGATTGGTAATTAAAAAATCTTGCAGTTTCTCATATCTATGTCAGTGTTGTGAAGACAATTTGCATGAAACATTAAGTTAACAGACATGATTTGCCTTCGTGGGCTACATGATTTCGCGGGCCACATCTGGCCGCTGGGCCTTGAGTTTGACACGTCTGGTGTACCCTGTCTGTATCAGCTGGGATAGACTCCAGCACATCTGCAAACCTAGTGAGGATAATCAGTTCAGATAACGCAGGGGTCTTCAATCCTTCCACAAGGGCCGATGTCCGACTTGTTTTCCATCTCTCCCTGCTGCAACACACCTGATTCAAACGATCAGATAAATAGCAAGCTCTGCAGAAGCTGGATACCGTTCTTAATAATATGAATCAGGTATGTCAGCAGCAGGGATAGATGGAAAATTCTACTATTATTTCAAAAGTGTGCTTACCCATCCTGAAAGCGGCGCCCAAGTAGGAACACGGATACACAAATCCCTCAAGACCCGGATCACAATGACAGCAGACTTCAGGTTATTGACTTTGGCCTGGAGACACAAATAAGGTGGTTGAGTTTAAGCTGTATCATCTCCACATTCTTTTTCTAATTTCTTCCAAAGACCAAGAGCAAAGCACAGAGAGGCGAGCAATTCTCTGTGACATGAACGGTAACGACAGGATGCGCTGATAGTTGTGATTTAAAAACAAATAAAGACAGAAAAAGAAAAAAAAAAGAAAAAGGACCAGGTAGGTCTGTAATTTAGTATAAGGGAGCAGTTAATTTCTCATCATTTCAACTAGTCAAAGCGCCACTTTAAAGATGATCGACTACAACAACTGACACTCAAAATGTTTGTTTTTCTCCTTAAGGAGAGAAAATCAAAGGCATTCAAAGATACAGTTGAACGTTATGTACAAATAATGACGTGAATGCAAACCTGGAACCACTTGGCGTGGCGGAGAGACGCCAAGGAACTTAGGCATTTCTGTCTGTCCAGAACATCCGGCAGATCGTTGTCTGTTTGCGATTCTATTGACGAGGTGGAGTAAGAAGAAAAGGTACAGTTTGACCAAGGGGGTTGATTCTGTCTTGCAGCTTAGGGAGCAGCAGCCTTCCACAAACCCAGAGCAGTAGGGAGATGAGGTCTAATAGTCATAAGAACATCTTTGAGTGAAATGGTCACTTATCATAAAAATTGCCATTGCAATTGGGCCATCCTGACATGCTTTTGCTCGCATGTGGCAGTTTCAGGTGTAAAATCGCTTCAAAGACCCCCCTTCCCTTAGCTCAGTGGCTCGGGTGGGCTGCTTTCCCCCCCATCCTGAGACAGCATGTCCAGTTGGTCAAAGGTCCAGCCGTCCTAAAAAAAAAAGCTTGACAAACTCCAAGTCAATCAGTGGGAAAGCACAGGAAAAACCTCCACGTCTGCTCTACTCTGCAGCAAAACTGATGGCAGGGCAGATTTTCGACATAATCCAGTGTTTGTTTACTAAACACTGTGGCTCAATGACTACACAGTATTGTTTAAAAAAACAAAAAAACATCAAGATCAACCAGCAGGTAGAGCAACCGCCACAGAACTGTGTGAGAATTGCTCAATGCCAACTACCGCTAGACTAGAAATGGATGGTCACAGACCTCACCCAAAAACCACCATTTCTTTATGATGTACCCGACACAGCATCATGTTGGGCAAAGGCTTCCAGGTCTTAGATAAATAGCTATTTTAATTTTTCTTTTAATTTAAAGCTACAGCATTTCTTCACTTGGGAAAAGGGAGAAACCCTTCAATTTTTGGTCACTTTGGAAACAGGTTTCATGAGAGACGGCTCACATGCTCTAGTCCAGGGGTCGGCAACCCAAAATGTTGAAAGAGCCATATTAGACCAAAAAAAAAACCCCTAAAAACAAAAAACATATGTCTGGAGCTGCAAAAAAATTAAAAGCCTCATATAGGCCTTATAATGACGGCAACACATGCTCAATGTATCTAGCTATATTAGCCTACTATGAAAATGACTAAGTGAAAAAGCAACTGATCAGGGTCAGCCTGGACCTGTTTCGGCAACATACAATCTGGAGGTAAAGCACTAGTCCTCCCCGCCCCTTTCTCTATCATCAGCAGCACAAAATATTACAAAGTGCAGTTCTGTTTCATGAACTATACCAGGACTACAATGTCTCCTTGTATAAGGCTTCAGTTTTCAGGCCAGTCCAAACGATTCACCTTGACTTTAAACTTCAAAAATAACTCTGACTCATACTTCACATTGCTAATCCTCGACCAAAATTCAGGTTGGATTTTGGTGATCAGTTTTGCTGCAGTGAGCGCAGATGCACACCTTCAGCATCAAGGACATTCAGAGCGCGCTGGGAAGACTTCAATTAAGGCATAAGCATTGAGGTTTTTTTCCCCCTTTTTTTTAAAAAAATAAAGAACTGAGGCATTATCGTCAACATGTATAACGTGAAACATTTACAACTTGGGTGGGGTTTGACTTACTACGTCAGTGGAACAGACCAGGATGTGTACACACCCATCAGATCTGTGTTAAAACTACTCTAGTGTACACTCACTCTCTTCTTGGGCCTCCACCCTAACTTGAGGAGATGTGAGATGGAGGGTGAGACTTAAAGCCAATGCCTTGGTGCTTTCCACTCTGATGGCTGCATCCTTTGGACAAGGGGTCACTGTGTACAAGCCGGCTGACTCAATCTGTTGCAAAGAGGAACAATGCTTCAGGCCAGAGATGGGCAACTTAAATGATGCATACAATACACATACAATGTGAACACTTCTTTTGGTTTTGTGTTTACTTTGACCATAAACCCCAACTAGGATGTCATTAAACAGCTTAAAGCATGCTCAGGGATGACAGAATCACATATGCTACATGTTTGCTGCGCAAGCAACATGGTGCATTCAGGCTACTTTCACAATGTAAATGCACCGCACCATTCTGCACGTTAATCATTTGGCTTCCATTATGATGTTTCAAGAATCAAGAGAAGCCAAAATGGAAATCATGATTTAATTTTAATTAAACATCCAGCCCTCGGATGGGTAGCAGTCCATCCATCATTGTCTCACTGAAGAGAATTGAATAGAATTTATTTATCCATCTATTGATGATTTCACAAGCAATTTAAAAACGGTTCATCCATGCCGTTGCTGTTGTACCTCTAAATGGTCTAGGAGACTCTCAGCCACCTGGTTTAGCAATGTGATGGTTGGCTTGTTGAGACAAAGCAGCACCAGTTCCAGGTTCAGGTCTCCTTTGAGCAGAAGTCCTTTGGCCAGCAGGCCAACCCTCATAATGCCATGCATTACACGATTTTCTGCATGAGCACTTGAAACAAATGAAACGGGGAAAAAGTTCAAAAGAGCAGAGGATTAACATGACAGAGTAGAGGATTAATGCTACCAGGTGTACCAATGGGGAGATATCATTGGGATAACTTACCTTTTGGTCTCTTTTGTTCCTTTATCCGAAGAGTCCATTTTCTCAGAAAGAGCTTTTAATGCACACTCCACATGTGAGACAATTGTCTGCACTGCGTCTAGTTCCTCTGCTGAGGGGTATATTTCAGAGTGTTTGGCCATCACACGGCGATCATTTGGCCCCGAGTGTATCTGGTTGTGCGAAACGCCCTTTAGTTTGAAGGGGTTGAAGTGAGGAGGAGAAAGGGGGGGGGGGGGGGGGGAAGAAATACATAAACTTTTTGTGGAACACAAAGCATAAATGAATTATTATCTACTATCAAATTCCCCATTTATCCATTGGTCCCTTTTATAAACCACTAATTGGAAGCTACAGCCAGTCCCGGCTGACTAAGAGTGAGAGGCAAATGATCCCAAACAAATAGTCACTCGTGCTGCTGTGGTTCACATAAGGTGCTTTTCCATTTGTCCCACTCCACACTGAGATGGGCTCGCTTGGCCCCGGATGTTCACTTTTCCATTCGACTTTTTTCGGGCCAAGCATTTCCAATGGATTCATTTTTCAGAAACATCTCGGAGTTGATTCTCAAAGTCCATAACAAAGTTGAACCATATTTACAGTTTCATATTTAATAATGGACGAATTTTTCATGATTTAATTTGAAACTTCTGCAACACACGCACTGCTTGCTCGCCGTATCTCATTCAGTTGAATGAGAGGTTTTCAGCAGCACACTAGATGGTGGCTTTGGGTGGCCACCAGAGGGCTTTAGATGCCACAGAGTGAGGATGGCAAGCTGTTGAGTTGGGAGAGGAAGCCAAATGAAGCAGCATGAGCTCTCTATTCAGAATGAATGACCATTGGCAGTGAGCTTCGCATGCCGCTCGCAAAATCACTATCACACTATCCATGCTAAGCATGGCTCAATATGGTTATAAGACACAAAACTTGTGCAGTGTCTGCACTGTATTTTTGTCTTGATGTCAGCCAGCTGGTGACTGTATTAACCCGGAAATTGATTTTTTTTGTCCATGTGAGAAAGCTTCTGAGGATTTGATTCGCTGTACTTTGCTCTCCATGTCATGCAACGGCAATTAGTATTGTGAATCGCTTCAAAAACTGTCCGAGACGTGCCACTTGTAAAATATTAAGACAAGCCGCAAACTTGCATAATACAATTGATCCCGCCAACGTCTCGCCACATGTTTGTTGAAATGGAAACGCAATAGCGGCGGTGTGGCTTGGTGTCGAGCATAGCGAAGTGGTGTGGGGCTGTTTGGAACTAACGGAAAAGCAGCATGACTGTATTCTTTGCACAGCAGGGATGGGATCAATTCCCACTCAAAGTGCTCTTTATTTGCCCTGTGAGTTGTGATGGGCTCCAGCCTCTCTGAATTAGAGAAGTGGTTAAAGAAAATAGATGGATGATCAACGGCCAGAAGAGGTGCAACGATTATTCGAGCAAACAACTAATCGGATTGAGAAATATTTTGATAGCCAATCGTTTAATTTAAAATTGTCCAAACGCGTGCAGCCTCTCAACAGTATACATTCTCAGACTTTTGTAGTTCTCCATGAAAGCAGGCATATTATCTTTGTGTTGGATCAAAATAAGACATTTTTAAAAATCTGCTTTACTTTGGAAAAGAATTATCAACATTTTTGCCCATTTTCTGACGTGTGACGGACCTAACCAGTGACTTAATCTTAAAGTTTGTGCACTTTCTGCACTGTCAATTGAAATAATGTTCTGGTTTTCAATGTGCAGTAATCCCTCGTCGCTTCCAGCGGCATGTTTTGCGGGTTTTTCCATAATACTGTATTCACCCCAAACATAATAAAACAAATTCAAAAATGAAAAAAAAAATACAGCCATATCAGCAGCCATACTGCAGAAAGACGCTTTGTTTCATGTTGATGCGCGGGAGAGGTTTCCCTGTATGCCGAACAAAGAGTTGATGTGAGGTTTTGTCCATGCCTCTCCTGTACTGTACATGCCATGGACACTCAAACAAGGTTTGTGTTTGGTTCGCGACACGACATCGACCAAAGAGAGCATGAGTGGATTTATCCCGTGAGTTGACGATTCTATGTCGCAGTTTTTAATCTTTCACGGGGGGGTTTGGTCCCCATTAACCGCAAAAGACGAGGGACCACTGTATTGCTGATTCATCATTGATGAACAGGTTAATCAATTAAAATAAATGTTAGTATCCACTCTACTGGCCAGTTGTGTGAAATGTGGCAAAAGCCCATCACTGTATCAAATAATCATTGTTTATGTGAGGTTAGGCTATCTATATTTAGTCCTCCGAATAATGCAAGCTACACAAAGAATTGGGAAGTGGAACATTAGAACTAACATTTCAGAAATGCACCAAAACAAGGTACACACGAACCAGGTTACGAACTAGCAGAATAAGAATATTTGATCATTATTGAAATTAACAGCTTTGAGAAAGCAGACTGAATGGCTAAACTCAAGATTTTGGGTCACTGGATAATAAAAGAGGAACCTTATTATATCGATTATCATCAGCTGTCGCCATTGTAGAAATGTAGTCATGGTAATTTCTCAGCTCCTCCTCGTAACACCGGCAGTCGTACCAGTAACGCAGCTCCTCGTATCTGCATGATATAGATGAGAGAGCCAATAAAGCAAGAATCTGCACACATTTTGCTAAAATGAGTTTCGCAAAGGTAGTCAACAGTCAATATGGTTGCAATATGTTGACCTATGTCGTGACACAATTCTCAACCTCTCCAATACATCACTAATGCTGCATTCCAACAAAGTGGTAAGTTTGACCTATCCTTCTCGGATTGTACCAGTTGCAACTTCAAAGTGTTCCAGGTGAATGTAAACAATAAGGATGGCTGATAGTAAATAATTGTTTTTTATTTTGTTCAACAATACACATGTTGACTTCTGGCAAAGCTTCCTACATAATTCGCTTTACTTGTATAAATAAGGAATGACTTAGAAGCATTTCATAGATTTTACTGAATAACTTTATGCAGGAAGATAGCGGCGTACCTTCAGTCCAAATCATCTTGTGATCGTTAAAGTTATGTCAAATAACTAAATTAATGCGATAATAAATAAATAAAGCTAAAGAGATGCTCATAACTTGCACCGTAAATTATGTTTTGCGGCCACGGTCTGTGCCTCCAGGGGGTCGCCATTGGTCAGATATACGCCGGTCGGCAAATTGGGTCGTTCTTTTCTTCGCAACTCGGACCTCACAAGTCAAATGGGTGTTCGAGTACAATTTTCTCTGTGTGGGGTCGTAAAGGTCCAACCTCCCACCTTCCTCGAATGCAGCAATATAGTGGAGGTGAAGTATAGCGGGCCCCTTAGCCGGGTCGTGCAATTGCACTGATGACAATCCACATGCGCAGAATTTTATCACAGTAATCTTTTACAGAAAAAAACGGACAAATGACATCAAAACAAATTTTAGAGGTGTACCTGTCAAATTCGTGCGGTAGTAACCGGTGGCCTTGTTGGATGAGGTTGTCCCAGTGTAGAAGCTCATCATAAGCTTGGTGTTCGTCCCATCTAGCCGCCATGCTACACGTCTCACAGATCGAAGCTACCAGGGCCCCCTGTGTTTGAAAACTCTTCTTCCTTTACTCCAAAGGCAGTAGTTGTTCGGTAGTGTAAGTGTTGTGTAAATCAAAACATTAATGCTTCCCTACGTGTTTGGTTAGCAGCATACTTTAAAAAATATACTTAGAAACTTGCTAGGCTAGCGTTTGTAGCTCGGGCATTGCTGGTGATCGAGGTTATCGTGGTCAAGTTGCTATGAAATACAGCAATTTGTCAGTATATAATCGACGTATGTCTAAAACAATTGCAAGTTAATCTGCGTGTAAACGGTTTACCTTCAAAATAGAAGAAAAACGGATTTATAATGTCGACCTTTCTGACAGAAACGTCGCTACCTTTTTGTCGTTAGCGATCGATGACGAGTCGCTTACATTTGACGTCACCAACCTGCGCGGTTGTCTGAAACATTCTTAAGAGAAAGATTGCCATTTGTAAGATTTCTCAACAACATTGCTGCTAACAACATTGCCACTTGACACGTTCGGAGTAAATGACCAGCGAGTGCTCTGACCAAATAAGAAAAGAACACAAAAGAAGACAACTAGCATCGCGTGGCAATTACGTTCCAGATAGGGCGTCTCTTTGTTGAACACTTTGGTTGCGTTTCCGCCATTTCGGATGTTGGGGTTGTCATACATTTATATAGCGGAAACGAGCAACGTTAGATATATACACAAGTTAATATCTTGATAAAATAACGCGTGGCTCCAAATTGGCCATAATAGATTAATACAACGAATATTTAAATGCTTGACGAAGACAAGTTATCTGATGGTTTTGATCTAAAATAATAGAGTTGGTGAGGCGTATGGATTATGTTTATAACTGCTCTTTAATGAGACTGAATTTCTGAGGCGTTAAAAAAAGAAACCACACTAGAAGCATAGCGCCTGCGCCCTCTAACGACCGTTCGTTCGTACCCAGAATTAATGCTGTTGAACGTGGCCTTCCCGAATCAACATTATGCATGTCTCGAAGAAGATAGTTTTAAAAAGCTCACGCGAAGTAAAACAGGATGAAAGCGAAGACAGAATACGTTATAAAAAAATAAAAAAAAAAACAGAAGAATGTTGTACATTTATGATTTAACCAGCTTTTGCAATACAAAAGACAGGATAAGGGATTAAGGAAACCATTGCACTACTTTATAAAGTATAACTAGTAATAACTCTCATACAAAATGTACAAAGGTTTGTTAAAAATGTCATCATCATCATCATCATTACAGGCCTTCAAATGATTTTGGTTACAGATATAATACACAAGTACTATGACACCATGTTAAGAATAATGTTTCATAGTGAAATAAAGAACTTGCATGGGAAAAAAGTCAGCAAAATGCAATAACTCATGGTTGTAATATTGTCTGGGAAGCCATAAATAGTGGTACTGAGGTAACTGGTAGGGTACCAAGCAACAGAAAACAGTAAAACACATTTCAAAGACACAATGGAAACATCCAGTCCCCTTTGACGAAAAAAAAAAAGAATAATTTTCCATGTATGTGACATGAGTGATGGAAAATAGCAGGTCAGGTTATTTAAAAAAAAAAAAAAAAAAAAAGCACAATTGGGGAAGCCAAAATTAGTTTTATTACATCAGCGTGATGATGTGTGTGGTGCAAATCACCCCCAAAAAATGAAAGATACACTTGAAATCTTCCATTCTCTTTAAAGCATCTGGTTGGTTGTTACTGAGCCAAATTACAAATTGTAATAAATAGTCATAAATTACACCATAAAGCCTTACTGTGTCTAAGATGAATATGATGTACATTGTGTGTGGCATAAGGGCATGAACCTTAGCGAGAGCAGATTATGTGTGTCGAAAGGTCATGAAAGAGATTGTACCCTCCATACCTACAGGGGAAGACAGAAAAACACGCAGGCTTACGGAGCATAAAGTAGCCTAAATTATTTGATGTTCCAAAGTCAGTCTCGAGGGTTAAATCACAGTGTACAATATATGTTTTTCTCATTCCATACAGGCTGATCTCACGCAGAGGAATATTAAAATACACATACAGAAATAAAAATTAACCAACAATGCCAATCGCAATGAACCGAGACAACAATTTGTGCTACTGTATTAAAGATGGACATTTTCCACAAGAACAGCAACAACGAAATCTTTGGACTGCAATTCCTCCTGCAAAGTTTGTTACTACTAGTATACAGAAGCTTTTGTTTTCTACGAATAATACAATGTCTGTGCTGTGCGTGTTTCAAAGGCCATTATTAGTAACAAGTGCACAGTAAATGGTAAATGGAGTGCACTTATATGAGTTTTATCTACACCATTAGGTGCAGGTGGAGCAGTGTGAAGGGATTATTTTTCCTAATTTGAAGCAATATGCAGAAAAGTGTACTGCTCATTGTTCTTTTTGGATGTGCGGGTAAGGAATACTGGTCCATGTATGTGCATGATGACTGGAGAGAAGTTCAATATTTGCGTGGTGCATCAAAATAGAAATCAGGGAGTCACTCAGAGTCCCGTTGGACCTCGGATGCATCAGCTCGACAGATGGGGCAAGTACGATTAGCCTGGACATAACACAGGATCAAGTAATGAGGGTCATGTATTATACTACATCTATTGAGAATACAAATGAGAAACATGCTAGTCTTAAATCAGTTTAATATAAAGCAAACAATTAATTAGTGCATGTATGTTAGACCAGGTGCACACGAATCCCAGAATGTTCATTGTCATCAATATTATTATTATTATTCACTGACTGTTATTTTGAATTTATTGTCTTGAAAATCTACTCACCTTAAGCCACTTGTCTACACACTTGGCATGGAACTCGTGATTGCAAGGCAGAACTCTTAAGAGCTGGCGGGACTCAAAGTCACACATGCAGACCACACACCTGGGTGATTGATGGATGGATTAATTGATTTAATTATTTTTAACATGTAAAAAAACAAACAACACAGACAGACATGATCCCATACTGACACACTTGTTGTGCCGGTCAGGAGAGGAGTAGAAAGTAGTATAACTTAATTAAATTGTACCATACCATTACTTGTGGTTAATTATCAACCCTAAAGTGCAAATGGAATTAAGGTGGATACTATAATAGTGATTCCTAACTACTGTGCTGGAAATACAATTTCACTTAATTGGTCAGAAAATTCTTCCAATTCTTGCAAGTTCTCAATTTTAGGTTCAACTAAACTGGCCCAGATTTGTGGCTCAACTGGGACAAGATCTCTGTTTGTTTTTTAATTGAGTTGTACAGGTTATCAGTCACAATTGTGGAAGGTTTTGAAATGATTTGTCTTGGTCTCACTTTCTTAAATCACAAGAACCTAGCAACTGAATGGGGTGTGAAGACTTTCTCTTCATCACCTGTATAAAGCAAACACTGAATTTATACATATACCACCACATACCCAATTATTCTTCCCCACGGTTCAACAATTTTGAAAAAATAATGTACTTAATATTGTGATTGCGATTTAATATCCAATGATTCCAAGGTAATTAATGTCATTAAAAATGAACAAACAAAAATAAGTCACAATTAGATTATTAAACGGTTAATTAATAACGGTTCAGCCCTACTTTGCACTGTTTATATTTAAGTAGGAAATGTTCTAATATTTTCAACAATTTTGGGAGTAACGAAACTGGATTGTCGTTTATACAGTCGCAAATACCATTTCACAATGTAATTACTTACAGATGTTGACCAACATCCTAGAAGGCCGTTCAATGACCTTTTTAACTAAAATAATATAATCCATGGATGTTTTGCTTTTCCATCTCTGAACGCTTTCCAGTGTTTTATTTTCCTCCAGATTTTTCACACAACAAGGTTGATCCCATTTCATACAGCATCATATTAGCACAAGAGCATGCCTTTGGAGACACTCACAGTGTTTGCTCAGACTGGTGGTTATTGGGGTTGAACCTGTACGATGGGAGCTGTTCAATATCAGCCTTAGTGAGGCCACGGGGCTTGGCCTCTCCAAGACGCTCTGCAAGGTTCAGCAAGGCCTGGAAATTTCATAAACAGGAGGGGACAATTTTTAGAAAAAATATTTCATGGCCGAACTGTTACAGTTGCACAATCAACAGCACAGAGATGCTGGAAACTCTAGTATCACTAAAAGTCAAAGTACCTCATAGTTCTCCACTTCTCCATCATCAACATCAAGCTCCAGACTAATGGCGGGAGCTACGTTTGGTGGCACGGGGAGCATGGACCTGGTTGAAAAGAGGAAAAGGGAAAGGTTTCCCTGATATGTTCTTCTGTATGGAACCAACAAAACGATGAGGTTAAAAACACTTACAAGAAGTAAGGCAGGAAGCTCGGGTGGTAGCTTGAAGGGGGCACAGCCTGCTGGGAACGAGCAGGGTAGCGCCGACTTGTGAATCGCCGTGGCATGAAGTGTGGATAGGGCTGTGGAAGATTGGAGCCAAAAATTGATTCCCCACAAATGTGTTCAAAATTATATTTACAATCCCAATATACTATAAGTCCTAAATCTATGTACTCACCACTGTGAAGAGCTCTTGTGAAAGGGGGTCATGGTGCGAAAGAAACTGGAGTGGTGTGGATGGTGGGAGAGTGGAGGGAGGTTGGTGGTGATGGTGGTGGTGGTGGTGGTGATGGCCATAGCCAAACCCTCCACCGACTGAGAGCTGCTCTCCTAGAAGTTCAACCTCATTTTCAATCCTCTGTAAGGGCTGAGAAAGAAATATCAAATTGATATTTACAATATCATGGAACAATGAAACAAAATATAAAATTAAGGACAAGGTACATTTATTACCGATCGTGGCTGCTGCGTCTGGAATGGCAAGAACTGACTGTGTGTGTGGAGGTGTGGCGGGTGATGAGCGAGATGGGGTGGAGGGGAAAGAAGAAACTGAGGGTCGCTGGAGAGCAGAGAGGGAAAGGCATAGGGCACTGGCAAATGTTGCATTGAACATGCCTGTAGCATCTGAAAATTGGACACCACAAAAAAGGGAAAACACTGTCAACGGGTGATCCTGATATACCACATCCTGTCACAAGGAGGCAATGTCAAACAAGAAAACAATCTCTCATTTGCAGATTCTGAAGAGCTTAAAGAAAACACCAACCCACTCCCACAGGCTACTCTTACCGGGTGGTAATGTTGTCCTGTGCTGAATACCACGCTACAGGCAGGAACTTGTTGTTGTGAAGAGCAGCTGGGGGGAAGGTGCTGACCGTTACACAGCGGTGCTGCTAGGCCATGAGGTGCGACTGGGGTCACAGTGTAGGAGACCGGTACACTGCCCTGCTGTAGCTGGAAATAAGCAAGATAACAGTTACAACACACATGCAGGCACAGGCACAGGCACAAGCACAATCAGATCTGAGGCATACCTGTTCATGCAAGTCCAGGACCATGGCTCCTTGCTGTGACGTTGCATGATGCTGTTGCTGCTGATGGTGGTGGTGTGCAGCTGGGTGCAGTAGTCGAGGGGACAAGGTGGGAGGATGGAATGCTCGGAGATCCTCTGAACCCCCACTTCCATGTGTGGGGGGGTGACTGTAGGTGTGCGTTGGGTACGTCTGGTGTGTGGAGGAATGTGGGTTGTGTTGAAAGTTCTCATCCTGGAGCTCCGATGGCAAAGGGTGGGGTCCGGGGCCTTGGGTCGAGGGGTGATGATGGGGAGGCAAGTGTCGAGTCGGTCTGGATAGCCGGCCACGCTGACGCCTAACAGGGGGGCTGGGGGAGATCAAGGGTTTACATTTAGGGATCATGTATGCTATCATCTCAAACAGTGGTTCATCACTCCAAGCTTTCAGTGAGTCTGTTTCAGTGATTCAATGGAGGGCAAGATACACACAATTATTGAGTCAAATTCAAGTTTTTAGTTTTGTTCTTAGTTTGAAAACAGTGCATTTGTGCGCAAGTGATGCTTATTTGTGCAACTGATGTTTGTTTTGAGCACGAATAAATTTTGAATTTGATAGAAAATGATATTTTTTTTAATTTAGAGGGGTCAGTAAATCCACATGTAAAAGTTGCAGGTTTTGTTCCCTCCAACAAGTTCCAGATGTAGAAATCAGTTGCAAAAAATCTTCAAAGCTGCCTACCTGCGTCTGTGACGAGCAGGTGTGAGGGATCTTTCTTGGTGGTAGTGTGCGTGGGGGTGAGACGATCTCCTGCTTGGAGGTCCTAACTCCCAAGGGCGAATGGGGGGAGAAGGGGTGGATGGCGGTGGGGCGGAAGAAGTTAGCTGTTCCAAGACAGCATGACCCGACAGCCTCTGGCGCTTTGGACTGGGGCTTTCCTCACTCTGGGGAGACAGGGGTGGAAAAGTGGAGGAGGAGAGTGAGAAAGGAAGATGAGGGTGAGAGAAAGGGGGTTGCGGTTTGTGACCCATGACGCTCGAATCAAATCAATTTCACTGTGCTCTTCCATCCCTCTGGCCAACAATCCATACAACTGCTGAGACACTCAGCGTCTTTGTGACTCATGGCATTTCCTGTATGTGCACACCTCTGTTGGTGTGAAAGAGTGTGAGCACATTGCACCACCAGTGCTCAGCGGCCCTCTGGGCCCACAGTCACTTCCTCTCGCAGTGAGGAAATGAGGAAAAAGGCAGGACACGCTCTCACAGGCCCATAAGGGAGTCATTCATCCACACCCACAACTGACTGGCTCTAGTTTCCTAAAGCTTCGACAAAAAGACTGTGACACAAAACTGAGACAACGCGCACGCATACTCCCAGAGTAGTCATCCAGGTTAAGATGAAGTATAAATCCTCGGTCAGCACTATCAAGTCATCTGTGAGTCACAACACTTACTGTAAGGCAATGACTCCCGCTCAGCACAAAAGCACATGTGTCAGCATGCAGTCATCTTCCAGTTCATGTGCTAGACCACATGTAGTAGAACTAACTATAGAACAACCAAGTATCATGTGCATTTAACCGGAGGCAATCATGGAAATAAGCAAGATTGTTAGATGGCTATAAAAATCGACTTTACATTGCTTTTTTTTTTTTTTCCGACATTTTACTGCACATTAATTTCAAGCATTTTTATTCAACGGTACGGCGAATGTCGAACAATATAAAATAGCACAGTCAACTACTAATAATGGACTCCTCAAAAATATGAATATGCCTTAAAATGTAAACATAATTTTGATCATCCACAAAATTTTGCTACTTGCAAATGTGGATGATCAAAAGATGACAATTGAATACTGCTATCGTGGCTGCTAATGCTTACGTGGGGAGGCTGTGCAAACTCTGCTCGTATTTTTATGTTTTTCACTTCATCACTTGGGTGCCACTTGCTCAAATGATTCAACAGGTTTGTTGTATTGCCTTGTTTATGACAACATGCCTTGCACAACGGTTTCCTCCACATCCCTCGAAACAACTACACAAGCGATGGGAAGGAACTTCAAGTCATGGCTGCCCATCAGCTGCGCATTTAGCTGCGTGGTCGGTGATGGTTACTATTACTATTACTCTTTGTTTACGACTTTTTCTTTCATTTATTGGCGGATTCTATTTACTTCAACTTGCAAACCAAAGTTAGAAGCAACAGCTGGACATTTCCAGCATGTCTGATGGAGTAAATATGCTCACAGCTGGTCACATGATATCCAATTCTCTATCAATATAATCACCCAGCTCACTTGTATTGCCTTTTGAAATGTAATCGCCATGGTTGGGGGCTGTGAGGGACTGATGCGCTGGATATTTATTTATTTTTGTTCTGTCTCTGCGCGGCCCGGTCGTGGTTCACGGACCAGTGGTTGGTCACCACTGGTTAAAAGAAAACAGCTGGAGAACAGGCTGCAGAGAGAAAAACACACACACACACACACACACACACACAGTTATGGAAACGCCGCCAGACATACACAGTCACATATGGACAGCTGCCATTGTTTGTGTATTCTACACCCTATAAAGAACAATACCTACTGAAGCTGCTAGGAGGCCCACTACACTGTTCTAGCAAGGTTGAACCAAATATATTTTCATTCAAGACTCAAAGACACCACAGTGTAATGACAGTCAGCCACAAGTTACACCCGATGAGAGCTGAGCTTAATCTTATGGCAAAGACAAATAACTATAATGACTTGAGGTCTTCAATAACAAACATTATTAGAGGGTTAAAGAAAGAGGTGCACACAAAACAGAAACTGTTAGAGAACCAAACACAGTTTCAGTAAGAAGGTCTGATCGGAGGCAAGAAAGTTGGGTCACTGCAAACGCGCTCATCCCGCAAAACCATGGTGCTCCCAAATTTCAGCTGTCATTCATGTCATGGTTTTGTTTCATTATGTTCTGGCTGGATAAACTAACTTGTGATCAATATGACAATTGTAGCACAGGTACAGTTCAAAAAATGAACAGATAAATAAAAATGACAGCCCTTCAGTGATTTGCGTATTTGAACTCACCTCAAACTTAACATCAGAATGTTCATCGCAATCCCACTGGTTCAATCAATCAGACTAAGTCTTTGAAATACAAATCTTGGCTTGAGCACTTTCAACAGTGAATGATGTTGGCCTACATACATTGACAGTCTATACAACTACAATCCATCGCTCAAAATAACTGACAAAAACTAGTCTAACAGTTTAAAGCCAGTACGGGCAAAAACAAAACAAAACAAAAAAGCACAGGGTGCAGCATTGAAGCAGAGGCCCAGACAGTCTTTGGAGTTAAGGTACTTGGTGGAGATGTGTAGACATACTGTATAGTGGAGAGCATCTCCAAAAGTCAGAGTAAAGAAGTATTGATACTACTTTTTATGATAGTTTTGCTGAACTTTTTTCATATTCTTTGCTGTAAAACATTTTCATATAATGCAGCTGTGAGAAAAATTGTAGCTTAAAGTGTACCTTCAAATGCCCATTTCGTGGTACAGGTATACTGATGGGGAAATGGAGCATTATCGTACGGTTTGATAAATACCCGGTGTTCCCAATTTTGGGTCTAGTCCAGTATTTGCCAGAATAATCTGGTCAATTTTAATACACAGCGTAATGTTAGGAACGGATGTGATGTTTAGACGTTGACGATTCCTCACACAAAAAGACTGCTGACAATCACATCACCAACATGGTGCCGCTCACTTTTGACATCCCAGTGAACCATACTGTACAGAAGAAGGGGACCAGCATGGTAGCGATACGCACAACAGGGTGCGTGAAGTCAGCTTTTACTGTTGCGAGTGATGGTGAACAAAGCTTTACTTAGACTGTGAGGCAGCACCGGCCGAGTAATGCCACAATTTGTGAATGGAGTGTGGATGCTTGGGTTAACGTGTCTGCTTGCACTGTTGTTCGAGTTTATGCAAAAGTTGGTCGGCATCATTTCTGAGGAGCCGCATGGCAATGAGACTGACTCTTGACAATGACACGAGGGAAGCTGGCGTGATTGATTATGTGCCCAGCTGTTCATTTTGGATAATATAAAGACACAATTTTATGAGGGAACAATGACAAAAAGCTAAACAAACAACAAAAGCAGTCAGTACCATCTTTAGGAAATGGTGGTAACACTGTTCCCCTGCACCTAATGCAGAGTCACTGCTGCTTCTGAAGTTTCTGCAGATTAATTCTTAGAATGTAGCACATATGCAACATTCTAATGGTTAAAAAAAGGCTTTAAATGCTACCAAACATCTACTGTGCAATGTTACGTACTTATTTTCTGTTCGTACAAGATGGCAGGCACCTACATTTCACCCCCAGACTCACACCTCCCTATGCCTCCCTTCGGACCCAACACTTTGCATTCGTTATTGTAAGCTTGCCCCTGCCCCAAAACCCTTGGGACAATAATCACTATGCCCATTTTCATATCCAAGCAAGCCTCTTCCATCGCAAACCTGACATAAACCCCTCCTTCCACATACGCTCCCAAACCCCACTCAACTACCCCTATCCCTCCCACCACCACTGTAACACCAGATAAGCACAACTCCTCTATCGTCTCCCCTTATCCTTGCTCTTTCCCCTTTAACTGTGTGTGCTTCTCCTGTCCAAGACCCTGGCCTGAAATTTGAGGGTACATAACAAGAGGTTTTTAGATAACATGGGTGGGCCACGGCCACACACACGCACGCACACACTTTTGCCCATTAGTATGAAAGTTTGATAGGGTTGTCTACCAACGTTAGGGGGTAGAGAACTCTTCTCTGACAAAGAATGTGCATGTGCGAGAGAGAGTCTTCCAGCAATATGGCTTTACATGGCCCTATATTGGACCAGCATACTCTCTCTGAATACACACCGCTGGTGCAAACATGTTTCCAATAAACCCAAAATGTCAGGGTACACACAGGAATAAAAAAAAAACCCTGCTGACAGAAGATGAACACACACAGTGCCTTCCAGCACAGCTTAGAAAAACTGAACTGCACTGGGGGTGATAATACAGCACATTCTGCAGTGTGAGGACCACAAACACGCACCCTTGTTGCTTTTTGCGCCGTCCACATTGAGTTGAGAGCAAATATCAGGCAGGAAAGACACCCTGCAGCATGAGAACAGACACGCCCTTCCATGTTCTGCTTGGCTATGTCCACACTTGCATACATGGACTAACTGCGGCAGGCAGCTGTTGAGACCTTGCTCTCAATGCTGAGATCCAAATTACAGCGAAGGCTGAGACACACCTCAGAAAAAGAACAAAAACCAAATTGGTCAGACTAAAATTGTGGGTGTGCAGCACACAGAGCAAATATGGTCATTTTCTTCAACAGAAACATGAATATTTGTAGGCATGCTTTCACAAACACCTAGCCCTCCCCCACGTATTCTCTTTCTATTAATGAGATTTGAAAGCTCATTTTGTTTCATCTGCCACTGTTCCTCTCTTCCTTCCCATTTCTCACTCCAAGCAAGCCCCACAGCTGGAAGTGAAATCATTAGCAAAACCCCCTCCCTGCTTTTGGCCTCATGCGACCACCCTCCCCCCTCCATGCAAGCTCATTGCAACACCTTCCTCAGCATCCTCCCTCCCCATCTCTCCTCCACTGCTTTGCAACTCATCGGACTATTTTTATTATGTCGATGTAGTTCTATTAATGCTACGAATATCCCTTGAAATGTAAAAAAAAAAAAAAAAATTGACCTTTTGCTTACAGAGCAACATGAGTAAAGGGGAGAAAACAAATGCTTTTTTCTTTGCCTTTTTAAAGTTTCACATTTAAGTGACGTTATCAAAAATAGCCCCTGGTGATGATAGACAACAAATGTTGTAAAATCCTTGTCAGACCAGTAGCGTGTGTCAGCACTTTGTATAGCAACACTCAAGGACTGGCCTTGTCCTACGAATACCCTTTTGGTGGCATCTACGTCCAATGTAAATGAAGACTGTGGATGCAGTAGTGGTTCAGTAAATATAAACTTCACTGAGAAAACATTAGAAGCACAAATGCGATAAGTGTGATGGACTTGCACAGACTACCGGTAAACACTTTACATGTATGCTCATGTCTTCTATTTTCAGATACTGTAGTACAATTTCCATGTTTATTTGACAACAACAATTCTGTGCTCTTCAAAAAATCTTAACTTTGATAAGCGTTTTCAAACCAAACAAAGTTGTCGCGTTCCCCGTTATTAATTTTCTGTAACAAATGTAAAAAAATAAAATAACAGCTTACCTTGTCACTCTCCCCATATGCATTCGCTTGGTGGCAATGGTAAGACCCATCTGAGGCTCCTACACAAAGGAAAAATAATTCAACACATTGGAAGATGAAGCTACAGTACGTCTGTAAATATCTGGTGCTTACTAAATTGTGTTCACACATTCATGTGAAAGGCCATCATCGTTCAATAAAGAGGACCAGTCGTTATTCAGAAGATGCATTGGGAAGAAAAAAAAAAAACATGTTGACGCCATTTCTGGAAAAGAATAATACAGTATAATCACAACCCATCACTCACTCTGTTCTTTATCTCCAGCTACAGTTGTTTTTTGTTGTTTTTCTCGGGCATGGGAGAATCAAACATCACAGGAAAAAAAAAAAACTTGTTTGTGCCACACAAAAGTGACCAAAACACATATGGTACAGTCTTGTCTCGGATTAGAGACAGTACAGATGCGCACACGCATGCAGACACATGCAAAATCAACAGAGTAATCCTAGATTAGAGGAGCTTTCAGATGATACCGCCAGTTGCATCGCGGCTAAGACTTTTACTCGTTTGTTTTTCCACGATCCTTTCATCTTTTTATCGTCTTGTCTATTTATTCAGTCTGGCTTTTGTTTTTGCCTTTGTATTGAGCGCGTCTTTAGCTGGGAACGTCCTCACCACAGATGGTGGCATTAGTATACAGTCCAAGGGTAAGCACTCCCAAGGGCACGCCACGCAAGGCTCCCTTTACTATTGAGATTGAGAATATTAAACCAAAAGGGAGAACATACAAAAACAGATTTTAAAATGCTAAATGGCAGTTTGTTTGCAGAGGTCTTCCTGCTCTAGCACTCCCCTTTGAAAAAAAAAAAAATCCATGATTGACAAGAAAGAGGCAGGCAGACAGGTTTGAACCACTGAATTCTTCAGTCCTGAAGAGAGCCTTTCCATTCCAACTCCACTAACCGGGGCAAAAAAAGGTAAACGAATGAAAAAGGTTGAGGTAAGTAAAGCTAACATTAGTGAAGAGGAAACCAGTTAAAAGGGTATTCACATTTGGATGATCTGGGCCAGATGACTGGTGAAGTAGTCATGGGATTCAGTGGCTGCATGTGCAGAACACTCATTCACCACTCACAATGGGCAAAAAACCTGCTCTCTCCCTGAATAGGCGCTCACTTGCACATTGTCAGAGTCCAGTAAATTGAGTCAGAGGCCAGCCATTCAGTCACAGTCACCCTTGGGAGCACGACACAGAAGTTCGAGAACAGGTTTCAAATGTTTAGATGACATCATGTCCCCTGTTGGATGAACAGAGACTGTATACACCACACACTTCAGTTTCTCTGCAAAGGGGAGCATAGAATAGGAGGAATCTACTAAGAATTGGACAGTGGACGTTTACCCCCTCCCCCGCAAAACAAAATAATTAACGAAATGACATTGTAGATTGAACATGAAATGTTACATTTCCATTACGTATCTAGGGTCTTGATGCTGTTTTTACACTGCAAACTTGTCTCCAGTATTCTCGAGCATGAATCTCCAGGTGAGAAACAAATAGCAATGCGCTCCAATTGAGAAACACAGACATCGTTCTGGCAGATCCCAGCACAAACTCAGTTTAGCCAGTGTTGAGCATGTGTGTGAAACAAAGTGCACACTGGCAAGAGAATTTGTTGAGCTATCTACGGAGTGGAGCTATTTACAATTGAAGAACAAGCAATGTTTTCAAAAAGACTGTCTAATCACACGACATCCCTGGAAGTTGATATGCACAATCTATTTTGTGCTCCAAGTGTAAAGGGACACATCTGAATTTTCAAATGTTAATTTTTACAGGTTATGGGAATGACACTCGTGAGAGCCTTGTACAGTGGAAGGGAAGAAGAAGGTTGAAAATGCACGTGAAAATGTGATGTATGGGGAGGAAAAGTCAGAAGAGGGGGAGATCAAGTTGAGGGAGTTAAAAAACAAAACAAAACAGGACGGAGTGAGGTGAGAGAAGAGAGCAGGGGCACCGGATGGGGGCTGTGGCTTCCCCTCTTTACTGCTATTGATTTTCTGTATGCCTCAGAGTGCATCAGCTATTTCTATCCATTTCCTTCACCTCTCCTCCCTTTTTCACTCTCCCTCTGCTCTTCCCTCAGACACCCTCATCACTTCATCACCCCCCCTCTTTCTGCCATCCTGTCTCTCTCTCCCATGCACCCCTGCTGCTTCATCTCACAGCATCCACATTTCTATGCTTAGCACTACCACATCATCTGTGTCCACCTCTCTTAGTTTTTCCCCCATCTATCTGCCCCTTTCTTTAAGGTCAGTGACAACCAGCAGATATTTGGTGGTCAAATGCACTCAACATCCACATCATTAGGTACACAGGCACAATCAAATGTAAGAGATGCATCAAAACGTTCACTTTTGAAAAGATAACTGGGATGGCTTTTAGTACAGTGCAGACCTCAGCCAAGGCTGAACAATTCCAGTGTTCATGCTCCCCACATCGTAATGGTGAGTTGAAATACGGTTTGGCGAGGTGAATGTTTCCCATGCCCACCACGCTGGCGAAAGCTAATTTGGTTGATCAAAATCACCCCGTGTTGAAAGCCCTGACGTCAAAGCAGAAGTGTCCGTGTGTAAGTGTATGCAAATCAAATAATGGTACAATTCTCCATGCGGGCAGTGACGCATACGGATTTGTTACAGTACAATCACAACATTGCTCAGGCGCGCCGCATCCTGGGATTTCATGTCCTGTCAGAATCTAGCTTAATGGTGATAACGCAAATAAAATCAAATAAACATACTGCACAGTCACAATAAAATAACAATCTGCTTCACAAAAATGTGTATTTTGTATGATTTTTTTTTTTGCTTTGTTTTAATAGATTCATTCATTGATAATTTCGTATTAACATACTGTGTGCCTAATGGTCCGTAATTTGGTTTTTGTCCCCCATATATATTGATTAAAATGACTGATTATTGGTTTGGTCCCTACAATCAGAAAATTGGAACATTGTTGCTCATAGTTTTTCAAAGTAAAAACAAATTTAGAAAATGTCTTATTTTGTTCAAATACAATCAATCTGTTTTCATGGACTACAAAAATCTGAGAATATTTACTCTTTAAAGGCTAAAATTTGAGGATGTGGAATATTTTAAGTTAAACAATGACCCTAAAAAATTCCAGACAGACACACAAATCTTTTTTTCCCTCCCCCATTTCCCTCTACACCCCTCCCGATTGACTTGGTAACCAGTCCGCGAGATACTGGTTGATCGTGATCGACATATTGGGCATCCCTGGTTTAGCCATATTGGGCAAGATGTTTCACAACCCAGAGCCAACTCTGAATTTAAATTGGGATCACCAGTACCTAACCAAGATGGACTCAAATTTTGTCATTTTCATATTCACTGAAATAAAAGAAAGGGAAAATGAAAAAACAGTAGACCCCTCTCGTGGTATCAGATTTTTTAAAAAAGGGATATTTGACAAACATCACTCTCAGTGGTTATCATTGGATTGCGTACCTAAGGTGTACATAATGAAGTGTCTTGTAAGCATTGCTCATTATCTGAGTCATTATAACTTGGACAAAAAGTCCCATGCCATATTTAAATACTGGTATCTAATCTATGGAAAGTGAAGAGGTGATTGAGTGAAAATATGAGAAGCACAAGTGCATACCCACACACATCACACTCCCTCCTGAACACATGTCAAGGCACACTTCACACCTTGGCACAAGAGAGAATCGAGTAACAAGTTGGTGTCCACGCTCAAAATAGGCAGCTAAGTAACATCTGCCCAGCCTTACCTGCCGTGAACCTCGCCTTCTGCTGCTCTCCTGCTTCATTGCCCACTATTTGTTCATCTTCCCTCCATTTTTTGTGTTTTGTCTTACAACCTCAATTTAGTAGAGAATTACGAAACCTGCTATGCATCCCAGACTATGAGCTAAACACAGAAATACTCTTTTTTGCAATCGTTTACGCTTGTGTAAAAGGCATTAGGCTGTCGAATGTCGCCACCCAACCCACTTCCTGGATGAAGCAGCAATAGCCTGCTTGTTGTTTATTACTGCAAAACTTGATGCTTATGAAGAAATGTCACCTAATTGAAAAGCCCATATGACTACAGCTACCAGTCTGAGTATACTGCGAGTCCCGCTATCTAAAAATTCTATTAGTTGATTTAATTTTTTGACTGACGTGTCCCTTTGGTATGTCATCCATCATCGTTCTCTTACTTCACCTTCCATCAAGTTGTTGACTAACGTGCACAGACAGAACATTTTCTGCAGTTATATAATTTCATACGCAAGTGTGTTTCTGGGGGCAGAATTCAACCACGCAATAGGCAAATGGTGGAATGAACACAATCACACAGAAAGTAAAGGCCTACCAAGAGAACACATTCATAAGCAACTCATTAGTTCCGTCTTAAACTGAACGTAACTCTTAATTGATACAGTATAAATAAAACCCACTGATGATTACCTACTAATAGCTTTACTCATACAATTGCAGGGCTGATAGCGACATAGACATGTTGCTCTCAGCACAAAATTATTGTACCGTATTTGAACAGCAGGAAAAAGATATCATACCTTTAGCCACCAACGCTTAAGTGAAGTGGATCTAAAATATCTATACACCTGTGAAAAACACCTGAAAAAAATGCCCCATGATTAAGAAAATTTTGCCACACAAGCTTCAGGCAGCTTGTTGAAGATGAAGAGCAATTTGATGGTACAGCATGACAATTAAAGAATAGTTCTGTAATTACCACAAGGGCAGATTTAAATCCAACTGAACATGTTGAGAGTGACATAAAGAGTGATGCATATAGTTCACTTTTATCCCATCACTGTTACAATGAAATGAAAACATAACAATTACACTAATTTACAGGTCACACTATACCTATTTATTTGAATACTATGTGAAAATCAGACACTGTACGGTTGGTAAATTTGGTACACTGAATTGGAATTTTCCCAATTGCTCTAACGTGGGGCAGCGTGGAGGTCAACTGGTTAGCATCTCCGCCTCAAAGTACAGAGATCCAGG